ATCTTTGCTCATTCAAACTGATTTATGGTTTAATGTGGGATTTGTATCCCATTTCAAGTGTTGCTGTGAAATTATACTTTCTCCTCAATTTTTAAATCATGGCAGATAAGGAATGAAAACCTCCAAATGTCCATGGCCTTATGTCTGTAAAGTAATCTGACAGTCTATTCATATAGAGACTATTCAGAGATTCCAGTTGAGCAGCCAGTGACAGTCAACTGCACTCTGTATGTTTTCAAGTGCAGTTGCTCGGCTGCCCACATTGGACTGTCGTTTCATCACTGTTAGTAACAATGAGAATGCATGAAAAACATTGTGCTAGTAAGCAGAATGCAGTCTCTTCTCTCATTAGTCCTCAGATTCCTGATTAAATTAGATTAAATCACCACAAATCAACTGTTTTCACTATCATGTAATGATTGGAAAATCAGGAAAATGTTTTATCAGCATCTCAATCAATCTCTGTCAATCCTAATCTGATTTCTGTCTAATTATTTGAACTCTGAGGAGACTGTTTATTTTGTTTGAGTACACTTGTACAGGTGAGATAAAACTTAATTCACAGTTGCAGAAATAGCCATACCGATATTCAAATTCATCCCTGGCCCTCCTTAAAATTAAATGGGGTGCTGTTTGATCAAGTAACATGAGGGCATAAAGCTGTTCCACAAAATGGCCACACAACAGGCTCAGTTTTAGGGTCATAGTTACATTGTTCCAGCAGTCATGCTTAAAAAGTTGAGCACATAAAAGTGCAGGAGGTCACAGTTTACCCTGAAATGATGCTCATATTTAGTTATTTCTTTATGTGGTCAAATGAATACTGGAGAAGATATAGCAAAAATGTATAATCCTTAAAACTCTTTTTTTTTTCACTAGATGCAGAACAGCAGTAGCGTTTATTAGTTTCTGGCCACCGGATGAACACTTATTTTAGCTTTGGTTTGGTCTCCACTAACTCCTATGAAGAATATCTGTCTCTTTAGCTGCTAAATGCTCCTCTGTGTTTAGCAGCTAGTCACTGACTTTGGTATTAGGCAGGTATAGCAGAGGGCTTAATCAGAGCTTTCTTTGCTAAAAACAGCTGCCAACAGGAAATGAAATGAACTAAAACAGTAAAATCACAGGTCGTAAAACCAAAACAACGAGCTGAAAGACACCAAAATGCTCAGTCGAGCTAAGGGGAGTTGCAGACTAATTATGTGTTACTTTACTTTTCAAGTAAATGTAGTAATTTGAACTATTTACAATCAAATATAAAAAAGTAAACGTTCTTGTGATCACACAATACAATAGCTGATATGTGTAAACAGAATAGTTTCAAGTGTTTCCTCTTGCAGTTTGCAGCAGTACCTGTTCTGAATGTCATGCGTGTGTTGAACACTGCAATATAAAATGTGTGTTGACAAAAACCTGAGAACACCTGCTCGTCTCATCAGTTCATTTTTTATGTCTTTTCCCTACCCTCGTCTGTCAGTCAGTGTCACTGCAGTGAGCTGCCGCGTCTTTTCCCGTCGCATCTGACTGAATGAGCTGTGTGAGAGCGGCAGACTAAAATAACTGGCATTAGGACTCGCACACCCTCAACTTGATGCCATATGCATTATAGATGCCCACTTCACAATGTGTCACATCATGTCTTGATTTGCATGCGTATCACGTATTTGATCTTCTTCAAGCAGGAGTAATAACCAAAGCAGAGAGATCTGAGAGATTTTCACTAGTAGAAGAGGGAGAGTTGGAGCTCGACACTAATGAACACATCTTTGTGCCGAGACTCAGAAATTATGTTGGGTTTGTGAGTGAGGGGGGGGCATACTACACTGCAGACATCACCTATATAATTGAGCTCCAAGAGATACTTTGCTATAAGAATTATAAGTTTTATTTGCAGTATTGCAAATGTAGCTCCAAACTAGAGAACATTTCACATTATTTAACACACTGCGCTAATGACTCTGAACATCTGCATCTTTGTAAATACACACAAGCCATCTGTTTACTCCCAACACGTTCTCACTCCCAACTCGTCAAACACTGCCACTTGGTCAGTAGAACTACACTGCAAAATATTTTTGGTAAAGATCCTGAGTAATTTACGTAAGTTAACTAATTACGTATATGATTTAAAAGAGGTCAACTTGCTCAACAAGACACAAACAGCGGTCTGTTGTATGGATGAAAGTCTTTTGCTTGCTCCACCCTACTCCCTGCAGACTTTTTGGCTCTTTTTACTACGTCTGGCCAGCACGACCATAATTGAAGCTTTAGGCCCGAGCCCTGCTAAAGCCACTAACTAAGCAGTAGTATTTGACAAGTTGAGGCTGTTACTCCATAGCAATAGTACTGGCCACTTTATGTTGTAGCATGCTGGGAGGGGCAGTAGAGAATAGCCTCCCAGCATGCACTAGGGCTTTTGTACTACCAATTGTGTTCTACTAGGGGTGCTTTTCCTTATATTAACGTGTCATAATCTTTGATTCCGTAGCATCATTAATGCTGATGAGTGAACACAGTACACGGACACCGTTTTTGAAGAACAATTTCAAAAGCTTTTACTCGTTTAGATGTGTAAATTGTTTAACATGGCTGATTATTAGTAATATTATTACTGTTGTTGATTTTAGTCAGAATTGAATATCCTTTTTAATCATCTCATTTATGTACGGATCAGTGTTATTTGTTATGATTACTTTTAATAACTTGCGTCATTGTTATCTGCACAATAATACACCACCTAGCTGCGTAAGAATGTGTGTATGACAATTGTATTGTAAAATAAAAAACCAACAATAAACAAACTGCTGCTTTGTGTTATGCCACAACACTTTAAATTAAATTAAGAAGAAACTGGAAGATCCTCCGTGATGGCAGAGGGGGCACACTTCCAGGGAGGAGAGAGGAAACGAGGAACCTTAAGTTAGGGTAATGAAAAGCACCCCAGGTTTCTGCTGCTTCCACTCTATCTGCTTTTATACAGTTAGCTGTTCTGTCTAACTGTGGTTAAATTATGAGTGATGCCGTGTGCATGACTGTTGCTGATCATTTTATTGATGGTTTAGTGCACTGTTTCTCAAACCTTTTATGTCGCATACCACCTCAGAAAATGCTAGACTCTCCAGGTGCCACCAGTAACACAGCCAGACCCTATTCAGCTACAGACGGTTCATTCAAGAACCAGAGCTAATTTGGTGTAAAAGGGGTCCTCCTTATCCACACTTCTCTTCCCCATAGTTCACATTTGGAGCCACCATTGCAGTGTTTTTGAACCATTCATTTTACCTCTGCTTACTATTTTGCTTTCACATTTAAGCTCGTAACTAATCAGGGATGTATAAGTGCTGCGTGCCTAAACATGACTAAATAGCAGGCTGATATTGATATAGAATATTACTGGTGTTAACTGGTGTTTCATGGAATTATTTTTATTTTTTTATTTTTATACATATATTTCAGAGATTCCTCGATATCACTAGAGGGAGCTTGTGTACCACCAGTACCATAGTTTTAGAACCAGTTGTTTAGTGTTCTCCCTCTGTTGCGGTGTGGACTTTATGCTTGTTGCTATTATTTAAAATGCTGCTCAAGGTAAAATCTGCTCCCTACAATTTTTTTCCTACCTGCGAATCCAAGTGCACCTTAATATAATTGTTAGCAGGTTGAACTTCATAAGTAAATCTGTTTGTTTATAGGATCCTGCTGATACGGTTGCTATTCTTTTTGGGATATATTAAAAGACCATTGTGTAGGATTTAGTAGCCTCTAGTGTTGAAGTTGCAGATTGCAGCCAACTGAATAACCGCTCGCCTTCCAAGCATGTAGGAGAAACTGCAGGGGAAAAAATGTGAAAGGTCGTATCTAAGCCAGTGTTGGGTTTATCCAGTCTGGGCTACTGTAGAAATATGGTGTTCAATATTGCAGACTCCGTAGAAGAGGATATGCTCCCTCTGTAGATAAAAACGTCTCATTCTAAGTTAACAAAAACACAATGATTCTCATTTTCAGGTGATTATACACTAACGAAAACATATCTATGAATATTATATTCCATTTCTGCCAAAAGATCCTCCACACTGGACCTTTAAGGTATTGAAAGTTGATTCTTGTTGTCATTTTTAGGTCACAGAGTACAGAAGCAAATACAAAATGACTGCAGAGAGAGGTAAAATTCTCTCTCTGTGTGTGTGTGTGTGTGTGTGTGTGTGTATGTGTATATATAGTATTGTAAGTATTCAGCTGCATTGCCATGCCAAGAAAATGTAACTGTAATAAATCACACAACTCAAGCAAGTCTCAAAACTCTGCTAACTGATTTTCACTCTACACATACGTGAACAAGCATGTACATAGTAAATACAGAGAATATGTGCAGAATCTGATTCTATATCCAAAAATTAAAAAATTTAAAGCTGACTCACAAAAATATATTTTAAAAAAATTATAGTATTTATATTTTTGGTTATCAAGCAAAAACGTATTACTTTATTAATACTGCATGGTACTTTAAACTTTCATATGGGACGTGTAACAGCAGTCGGCTCAAAAATGACCATGCAGACCAGTTCATGTACAGCAGACAGATTGGAAGTGTTTGGACACTGCCCACTCAGTTCTCTGATTCAGACATTTCTTACTCATGTTCTCATAGAAGTCACTGTGTGTGGGTTGGTGCTGACAGGGCAGACAAAGTGTATTTGTACTGATTGTGTAAACGATCCTGCAGCAACTCGTCTGTTGACAGGTCAAAGGGCAAGGGGTCGTAGGAGGCCAATGGCCATCAGGTTAAACATCCTCTCGTTGTTGTATCATCAGTCACCTAAAACTTAACTGTTACACAGCCAGGGATTTAGCCACTGGATGATACAGAGTATTCTCATCCAGCTGACCGGTATGACAGGATTTGTAATAAAAATCACAACTAATTTATCATTTCTGATCAGATATAGGCATGGCATCAGTCAGGTAACACAATTGTTTGAGACAATAATAGCCCACCAATGTGGAATAGAATAATATTATTTAATCACATTTAAATATGTTTCATCTATTTGATGTTACATTGTTGTCAATGAATAGAAAATTAAATCACTAAATCACTATTCTCAGGGCACCCCTTTCAAAGTAAAAGACAAACGTTCACATGCTTACATGCAGAACCCCTCAGACTGCTCCTAATTAGGGCAGTAATAACAATTATTTTCATTACAGATTATTCATTTAAATTTACATTATTGTAAGATGAGTAAAAGCAGCAAATTCCCCCATTTTAGAGCCCAAAATCATCAAATGTGGGCATTTTGTGCTTGAAAAATTATTAATTAATTTAGAGATTTAAAACATTTCTGTCAATGAATCGATCTGTGGAACCAGGAATCCACTAATTGTTGCATCTGTCCTTCTCATTTACATCAACAGAATGTTCTTTAATGATAATTTCTTAAATTCTGAGAGACATAAAAACTCCCATGCAAAGACAGATACAAACACACTTCTTGCTACCATCAGTTTGATGGCTAAAGAGGCAGTGATTCTGATCAGCATGACCTGTGATGGTGATGCTTATTTTCCTAGCATGTCCCTTTACATGGCTGTGGGGTTATTGATCTTGCCCATAAAGAGGATGCTCCCGGTGGAGTTTTCCATGATGAAAACCAAGAATGGTCTGTCTATTCTGATAGACGGTGGCATCATAAGGTAGATAATTTCGATGATGCTGGTGGCTGCTGCCTCTGTTCCCGTCTCAGTGATATTCAGCACAGCTTTGTGAGATGCCTGTGGAGGAAAAAGGAGGAGGCAGTCAGACTCTAGTTTGAAACTCAGCGCAGGTCTAGGAATTTAGAGGCTATAGGTTATTTTTCAGCATCCTCTGGAAGTATATGTCACTATCTGCAAGATGTTCCTGAACTACTGCTCATGCAGTGGAGTAAGCATATAACCATGTTGTTCATAAGAACTTAAGAAATGCTTGCATCTCCTACCTTTGAGACTTTGAGCTTAACCTCCTCGGATATGCCAGAAAAATCAGCATTGTCTGCAAAAGCGTTGGTTATGCCCAGTTCTTTTAGCGTGCTGTCCAGGGAAGCCTCAGTAGAGATGGAAAATTTTGGCAGGAACAGATCCACATATCTGAGAGATACAGCGCATCACTAGGGTCAGAATCATTGTAATATACAGTAGTATTACACCTTGTCTAATTAAAGGACCAGTGTGCATAGTGCCATCTAATGGTAAAATTGGAGATTGCAACCAACTGAATACTGCTCTCCTTCCAAGAGCCAGTGTTTGGTTGGATCTTTCCGGGCTACTGTAGAAACATGGCAGTTGAACATGGCAGCCTCCGTAGAAGAGGACCCACTCCCTCTGTAGATAATTGTCTTATTCTAAGGTAATGAAAACTATTTCTATATTCAGGTGATTATACACTAATGAAAACATGCCTATGAATATTATATTCCATTTTTGCCAATAGATCCTCCCAAGTGTTACACACTGGACCTTTAAGTTTAATGGCGCTAATCATGAACAGATTACATGTTTTAAGTAAATCAAATACATCTAATCTAGTCAACATTTTCTAAATCCCTTGTTCATCCAGTCAGTGATTACTGTATGCCACCTCTCCAGATCCCAACATACGGCAAGGCAATCTTGAATAAGTACATTGTTCTCTCTATCTATGACACAACCAAAGAAGAGGATTAAAAAATAAATTTGATTCCTCTTACCTCCTCCGGACTGAGTTTTGCCAGTGCCTGAGGTAGTCCTTGTTGATGTAGCCCTCCACCTCCGCCATCCGGCCTTCATCAGGCAGGACGATCATCATGGAGGTGCTGCCGTTGTAGGGCAGCATGATGGCAGTGGTGTGGTTGTCAACATCCTGATAGAAGCTGTAGTAACCCGTCCTCATCATCATGTCCACCTGAACTTTGGTGGTCTTGTCCACATGGAAGTCTGCCTTCTTTGTCATGTCAAGGCTGAATGGTGACTTCCACTGTCCTGCATGAGGCAGTGGAGGAGAAGATTATTTTAGATATTAAAGTATGCTCTACTATCATCATACTTTATGTTTACATCATTACAACGGTTTTATTTTAAAGGTGGTGAGTTGAACTTGATTCTTACCTCTGAAGTTAACGTAGTTAATCAGCAACATGGCCATTTCAGGGTCCAGGTCCTTCACCATATCTTTGATCTTATCCTGGGTTTTATTAGCAATGAACGAATTAATCTCAGCTGCAGCCTCAGCTGGTTTGGTAAAGTCAACATTGAAGATTTCACCAGAATAGTAATGCCTGACATCGTTCAGGAACTTCTCCACAGGGTTGAAGCCAGAGCGCAGGGCCACACCATTACCAACATCTAACTGCTGGTTCTCCTGGCTGTGTCCATGCATGTCGAAAAGATGTTTGTATGCATCATTAACCTGAGACTGGTTTGTGGTGCTGTAGCCCAAGCTGGAGAACAGCTGGCTGTGGGTTTCACCACGGGCTCCTGTAGACAGCATGGACAGGGCAGTGGAGATGCCCAGTGGCGAGAACAAGATGTTCTTTCCAGCAGCAACCTTCGCATTGAGACTTTTGTAAAGGGCAAAGGCAAAGTCAGCATTGGGAGACGACAGCTTGTGGCAGCTAATTTCTCCATCATGGTCGTTGTGGTGGTGGTCTGCCCAGGCTGCAGCCAGCAGCAGTGCTGTGAGTGCACAACTAGCAAAGATACCACTCATCTTTACAGCTTGTCCATACAAAAGGAAAAAACAAACAAAGTTGTTAGTTGAGCTCAAGCACAATTGGTCACAATAACACAATAACAAATTGAAAAATGTATTGCATGTAGAGCTATTTGAGGAACAACATAATGAATGAAAATAATAAAGTTGACAGTAGCTAAAGGCTCAAAACCTTTTGAACAGAACACGTTCTTAACAGATTTACACTTACAATGTAAGACATGTCTTGCCCTCCATGAAAAGTTCACTTCTGAACTCAACAACAATTCCAAATGTCACTTACTTCTTATATTTGTTTCCAAGTCCTCAAAATGTATATAAAACATTTAGCATATTTCATTAGAGGTCGATGCTTACCATTGATGTCCTCCTTGCTGCAGCTTGGCAGAAACCTCACCATTATGTTAAATCGAAGAGTCAGCTGACAGATCTGTTAAAAATTAATGAGGAGCAACCTTTTCTGTCCTGTGTTGAGAGATTTCTGGCAAATGTATCTTCAGTTTGACTAAAGGTTGTATACACAGAAGCCTACAGTAATAATCCCAGAATTACAAAAGAAAATGATAGAGCAGGAGCCTTTGATTGAAATATGAAGCTACTTATTCCAAACTGGAAATAAAATCCCAAAAAGGAAATGGTAACATATACTGACTGTTAATGACAAGTCTTCTTTCACTTCATGTTTAAATAATTGCACAATAACACCCCAGCTGGCTGAATGTGTCAGCAGTGCAATACATTATGTACACAAGTCAGCTGGATACAATATATGATGACTTATTTAGACCTTTAGAGACAGGTTCAGATCACTGATGATAAGGAACTTGTCATGCTGAAAGACTGCAAACAGAAACATTTTTGTACATATGGTAATAGTAGTTCTATTCATCTTAGATGACTGTTGGCAATGTAAGCTAGTCACTAGTAGCTCCATAGTTACCGTTATTTTCACAGCTTAGCTAATGTTAGGTAACTTTTTTTTTTGTGAAAGCCAGCAGTTAAGCTCATTGCTGGAGAAGGCACTGGAATTATGTGTCCAGAGAGGGGGGTATGGGATGGCACTGGCCACCCCTGAAATCTGATTGGCCACCCCAAGTGCCACCCAATTATCCTTCACTCTTCCACTTCACACTGTCTTTAAAGGTAGAGTGAAGCTAAAGGTATCATATGAAACTAGATGACCTAACACATACATTTGTCATGCTAGCGTGTAGGCAAAATGTTGGCAATTGACGTGGCCATTTTCAAAGGGTTCCCTTCACCTTTGACTTCAAGATATCTGAATGAAAATGGATTCTGTGGGTACCCACGAGTTTCCCAATTCCAGACTTTATGCCAAACCCATGCAGTTTTGGGAAAAAACAACACATATGGTATAAAAATATCTGCATACTGGGGTCCATAAACGGTACTGGATTTGCATAAATTGGGAAAGATGGAAATCTGAGACACATACTTCATGCCACCCCTATATAAGTCAGTGCCTTACTTGTGCCACCCCACTCAAAAAAGTCTGGGAACGGCCCTGATGACTTGGACAACTTTTCAGCTAGTTCACAAAAAGGATTTTATAACAGACTTGAGTGTGTGGATGCTCTCTTTATTGAGTAGGCTAGTTGTTGCCACATTACCTTTTGTGTGCATAGTTACTATGGTTATGTGTGTCATACTCTTATATCACAAGTAGTAGAAAAGACATTGTCTATTTGTATTACTGAAGCTACCTGTGTTCTCTGTTGCAGGTTAGCGACTCATTCAGAGGCTGCACTCACTCACTTGTTCACTAAACTGCTTTTCATTGTTTGGGATTAGCTGGAGAGGAGAAGTTCAATCCACAGATAACATTAACTCAGTGATATTATTCATCGTCCTTCCGACAGCAACAAGAAAGATAGCTGATTGAAAGCACAAAAACATTACATCCGCATCAACAGCACTTGATGTTACATGAGCTTAGCTTTTTATTAATGTGCTTCCTGCATGTTTTCATAGTTTGTTCCAGCTGGTTTGTTGCTGCTGCTTCTTCTCGTCCATAAATCTTTTTATTCCAAGAACCTCCAGCGTCAGATAACATTAATGATGGAGACATAACGCTACAGAATGCAAGATCAACAGGTCAAGCAGCTACATGAATTTATTTATGATATCTTTGTGCAATAATTGACACTGTTTCATGAGCTAGACGCCGCAGACACATGCAGCTGAATAAACCTTTATTCCCTGGGAAAAATTTGAAATGTTTCACCATAATTCTCATTTTCAAGGATTACTTTTATTTAGTTTTAGTCTTAAGTTTTGTGTCTTAAAAAATAGGTTGTCAACTGAAATGTATGTTTTCCTTGACAAAATTAACACTGAAAGGCAATTGTTGGAGGGGCTGGGAAACTTAATGTTCTTCCCTGTCCTGCTTTCCATGGTGTAGATGGTGAGAGAGTGCATCCCCAGGGGTGCGTTCAGTGTGTTACTTCTAAACATTACACTTCCGTTTTATCATACGTTTTAATCCACACATATTATATAACGCTTAATTTCTAGATGTAATGAATTCCAATTGTCACCTACTTATCTAAATTCTGAAAACTTATATAAATCATTAAGCATATTTTAATGAAAAACCATGCTTAGCATTAATGGCAGAAACTTCACCATTAGATACAGTTGATCCATTAAATATTCCAGAGGACCAGCAATTTTTCTGTCCTTTCCCACAAGATTTCTGACAAAGCTGTTTACTAATGTAACACAGCTCAGTCGACATAACATCGATAAAGACATTTGCTGGTGCGATTGGGGAGTTGCGTGAAATGTGTGTGAGTTTACAATTATCATCACGCAATTACAGAAATCAATTGATAGACCAGAAATCAGTAACTAACTTAATATAAAGTGAATTATTCAGAACTGTAATTTCAACTAATTTCCACTTTTAAAAAAACAATTGATTCCTTTTCTCTGTAATTTGGTATTGTAGATCATACAGTTCTTATTTAGACCAGTGGACTCAAGATTAGACTGAAAGACTTAAATAACATAAAATGCCAGTTGTTCATGACAAGTCTTTAATTCACTTCATACTGAACAATAGCAGCAATAGCACAATAACACCTTAAAAATAATATACTAACATAGATCTGTTGTCTTATTTATTAAATTATCCTCTGTTCACCATTTCCCACAATGCTCCTAATATCACTGTGACCTCTATGTAGGGCTTTCAGATATTGAGGTCAAAATTAGCTACTAAAACTTACTACATTGAAAATGTATCATTAATTTCCCTAGCATCTTTACATGGCTGTGGGGTTGTTGATCTTGCCCATGAAGAGGATGCTCCTAGTTGAGTGCTCCAGGATGAAGACCAAGAAGGGTCTGTTGAGCTCCATGGTTCTAGGCATACTGTAGGGAATTAACTCCAAGGTGGTGGCAGCTGCTGCCTCTGTTCCTGTTTCATCCACGCTCAGCACAGCCTGGTGGGACACCTGTGGAGGAATTAAATAAAGCACAGGTCTTGGAAGTAAGGGATAATGCCTGACAAAGTGTCAATCAGGCCTCCATGTCCAAAAGTCCAAAGAAAAACAAAAGACCATTAACAGTTTTGACATTTTTATACATGCCATAAAGTTGTTTACTACTTCAGTAAATGGGACGAACCTTAGATACAATGGGAGATATACATCATCTAGTTCCCTGCGCTCATATAGCCATTTGGCTCAGCTACGAGCCAGTAAGCTATCTGTGTGGTAGTGAGATTCAAAGTTCACAACATTGCGTACGGTCGACAAAACAGTGAAAATTATTTGAAATAAGGTTTTGGTTTTTTTGGGAGAATATATTTATTGCATTTTTCATATACATCATAGAACATAGAACAAAACTGCTTAGATATGGAATAAGCAAAATGAGTGTGTAAGAAAAATAATTATAAGAATAATGGGCATTGAATGGGGCGATAATCACTAACCAAGCGCTCCCTTCCAATCTGGCGGTCTATTTAAACTGCAGTTTCCCAGCTCTCCCTCTGCTCTGTCAATGCTGCTGTTGCCCTGCATCCATATTGCTGCTGCTGCTGCTCTGTAAGCTATTGCTGCCTGCTGCGCTGTAAGCCCCACCACCACCCCAGCATCCACCTGTAGGCTCCGACTGGGGGTTAAGGTATTTGCGCATCACTCCCTAATATCTCTATGTAAGCATATCTGCGGGGAGTGATGAAGTCGCAGCCTAGACGCCAAAATCTAAATATGCTATACTGCTTTAATAAACATTTCAAAGAGTGAGTTGGCTGACTAAACTCTATTCTATGTATTTGTGAACATGCAAATATTCCTCCATGCATAATTATCATGAAATAGGCATATTTTCAATTTACATAACAAGGCATGTTCGCATCTCCTACCTTTGAGACTTTGAGCTTGACCTCCTCAGATATGCCAGAGAAATCTGCACTGTCTGCAAAAGCGTTGGTTATGCCCAGTTCTTTCAGCGTGCTGTCCAGGGAAGCCTCAGTAGAGATGGAAAATTTTGGCAGGGATAGAGCCATAAAACTGAAAAACAGAACCAGGGTCAGAATTACTGGAATATACAGTTAACTTTTTTTTAATTTTTAGCTGTACTAGATGTGAAAACTTTGTTCAAATCAAATACACCTGATCCAGATGACGTGAACTTGTTTTATTCAGTCACTAGTTTATAACACACTTAACCATAAGGATGAGGATTCAAAACAATTTAATTTCTTACCTCCTCAAGACTGAATTTTGCCAGTGCCTGAGGTAGTCCTTGTTGATGTAGCCCTCCACCTCCGCCATCCGGCCTTCATCGGGCAGGACGATCATCATGGAGGTCTGACCCTTGTAGGGCAACATGATGACAGTGGTGTGGTTGACAACATCCTGATAGAAGTCGAAGTGACCTGTTCTCCTCATCATGTTCACCTGAACCGTGGTTGTGTCGTCCACACGGAAGTCTGCCTTGTTTGTCAGGTTACCATCAAAGGGTTTCTCCCACTGTCCTGTATAATGCAGTGAAGGGGGAAGGATGAAGATGAAAAATGTTGTTACTGCATGTCAACTCAAAAAATCGTGGTTACTTCTTTTAAAATGTTGCAATATGATATATATATTCGTGGCATGCTCCATCATTGAGAGCCTCAAACAGCACAAGGTGATATGCACCTGAACCAAGTATGAACATGTCAGTTTGTCATCCATTGGTGCATGGAGTATCATTTTTGAAGTCTTAAGTTTGGCATTATGGTCCGGGCCTTGACAGTTTGTAGGGACAGCAGAGTTGACATATTACATGTAGAGCTGCTCTCATTTCAACTTGTCCATAGCAAGAAACAATGGTTGTTCACCTTATGACGCACAATCTTGTATTACTGCTAAACGGTACACTAAAATATATTTCTGAAAAGATTTTAGGTTAAAAATAGGCAATGCAGTAACTTCTTGATTACTGCTTCAGTCTTGATTCATATTTGATCAGCACGGCCTAGTTTGACCTGATCTGGGTTTT